AAATGAATATTTAACTTTTCATCAAGCGAAAAAACGCAAATGAAAATTGTGATTTTTGGCCATTTTCTAAGGGGTCCGTAGCGAACCAAAGGGGACCTAGGTGGTGATNAAAATTGTGATTTTTGGCCATTTTCTAAGGGGTCCGTAGCGAACCAAAGGAGACCTAGGTGGTGATGGGTTGCATTTTTGTCAATGGCGGTTCATTCCCTCTCCAAAAAGGGGGGTTAGAGATGCCACGCACACTTACCTTTCGCCCACCGCCACTTTAACGAACGGCTATAATGGAAAGCCAACCCATTTAATTAACTACAATATGCATTTGCACATCTGAAAACTCAAAAGCAAATTATAATACAATATGTATATCAAATTAAAGGTAAAAACTTGCACTTTCTAAATAATATAAATTTTTTAGCATTGATTATAGACTTTTTCTAAAAAAGGTTATTTTATGAAAAAATTATTTATTTTTTTTTGTCTTATAATATTTTTCTCTGAAATATATAAAAAAGCATACACATTTTATACATCAGCTTGAAGACAAATTACTTGTCTATATTTTGACATTAAAAATATCACAAGTNATTTTATACATCAGCTTGAAGACAAATTACTTGTCTATATTTTGACATTATTACCTTTTGAATCGGTTACGCAGTTTAGAAAATATTAATATTTAAAAATATCACAAGNTTTTGTCTTATAATATTTTTCTCTGAAATATATAAAAAAGCATACACATTTTATACATCAGCTTGAAGACAAATTACTTGTCTATATTTTGACATTAAAAATATCACAAGTTTTTTTTTTACCTTTTATATCTACTTTACTTTTTAATTGCGGCAAATAATATTTATACAGTTAAAATCGGCGTAAAAAGTACTAGCAATCTGCTTTTTAGGTTTTCTATAGCTGAACGGTTGGTTATCTTGATGTATGCCAAAGTTATTAACAAACAACTTTTCCACAATAGCACTTTTTTTATTCACTTACTACACTCACACAAACGCGCAAAATGCCCATATTTGACTATACATACAACAACAATACTTCATTTCAGTCATATATATCAAAATATTGCTAAATATATCACTAAAAACTTATATATTTTATTAATTAAAATGTAAACAATTTTGGTGTGCTTACCGCGAAATTCACCTGCTGATGTGCGGTATTGCCGGTCAATCTGAATGAGTAAATATTGAATATGTTTACACGAAGTACAGACTGTTATGTGGGATAATTAATTGTGGAAATAATTAAACAGTTAAGAATTCCCATTCTATATCGAAGTATCGATGGGATGTCGCGCGAGTTTCTATTACAAATTTTCGCATGCGGAGCTTTTTTCTATAAAAATCGATACTTCGATATGTAATGAAAATTTTTTATAAAAAATCGCGCGATATCCTATCGATACTTCGATATATAAAGAGAATTTTTAACTATAAAGATATTTCTACAATTAATTATTTTATTTTTTACGCGATAAAATCAAAGACTACGTTTAAAGGACGCTTATATTTATCTTTTCAAGAAAATAACTGTAGGCTTCCAAAATCGTAATGCCACCCCATACCAATTCCGAATTCTGCAACAAGGTTATTGCATTATAAACCACATTCCTAATGGCACGCGTAAATAGTTGGTAGGTGAAGACGTTGGGTAATTGTATTAATTCGGAGTACTAGAGAGTGGCAATACCGCACATCAGCAGGTGAATTTTGCGTTGAACACGCCAAAATTTTTTACATTATAATAAATAAAATGTATAAGTTTTTAGTGATATATTTAGCGATATTTTGACATATGGATCAATTTTAGAGGTTGAAAGTCCACCTAGATAATCATCCCTCATCATTCTGGTTAGACAGTAATAGGGCTTTCACATGCGGCGATTTTTCTGGCAACTTTTGCGTTCAACTCTCGCAGGGTTGCACGAAAAAAAAATTGAATTGCTAAAAATATTAAAATATAAAAAATATCAAAATATTCGCCATAAAAAGGCATTTGCATTGTTCAACTATGCTGTCGCGTACTGGCCGCAACAAAATAAACATTTGTTTCCCCTTCGTTCTATTTACCTATTTCCTTTCACTCCAACCGATAGGTGTGAAGTCTGCCGACACTCAAGTGTACATATGTATGTACATACCTACATAAATAGCAGAATGAGCTCAAGTTGAGCGAAAGGGGCAAAGTCTCCATTAGGGCACTTCACCCCAAAATGGTGCCGATCGAGGGTAAGAATGTAGGAATGAGAGATGACGCGAAAGACCGTAGTAGGGATGATGGCAACGGCAAGTCCATAGTGTTGTTTGTGTGCGCCGTGGTGGCGACCTCTAAAGCGCCCAATTCGCTTCTAGAATGATCGGGCCGGCGCCAATTGATTGGGCACCAACAACACCGGCGCTGACACTCCAGGGGTTTGCATACCGGTGCGTAGGTTGCGGCCTGGCTCGCGACTCCGTGGCAGTTCTAAGCGAGCTTTGAGAAAGGCAACATCCTTATTGCGAGCGCGAGTGCTTTTATACATAGTAGCCCAGTAAAATTAGATAAATTTGTGTAGTGCGAAGTGTTTTATATTGAATAAAAATTCAGCCAGTGCCAGGCGAGGCACTTAGATTGCAGTAGCAGTAGCGATTAGTTTCGAGGAGCAGCGTCAGTCGAGGCGTGGTGAAGTCGGCACCGGATTTGGGAGCCATATTCCCGAGGAGCACCCCTGCGGTTGGAACGCCCACCGACCGCCGATAGGTATCGTTTTCTTTTGTTGTGTCTGTGTTCAGGCGTTATTGTTGTCGGCAGGCTTCCTCTTATTCTGTTTCCCATTCCGATCCTATTTAGCATCCTGCACCCTGAGCCCAGTCATACAGGCGGGTTAGAGATATCCCCGGCAGCACGGGCGGTAGTATGAGTGGGTTCGTAACCTTTTGATTGGACCTCACCCCGGGTGCGCCCCAAAAACAAGGTTTTGTTTTGTTTCGATTTCTTGGTCGCAAATCTTCTTGTCTTGTTTTCGACCCACCCTAGTTTTGGTAGTTTCATATTTATTGTGTGTGATAACTAGTGCACATTTAGTTTGAATAGTCTGTATACTGTCTTGTTGTTCCCCCTGCCAGCAACCCCGCCGTCTCCACTGAGCCAGCCGGTTGCTTCGGTTTTTGTCAACTCCCTTTTGTGCGTATATTTGTTTACTTAGGCAGTCTGCACACGGGTCGTATAGCTTTAGACGCGTACACGATTTTTTATGCAGCGACGATTCCTCTACGCCTCAAGATCTGCACACGAAGCGACTTCAAAGCGTCGCTGCACAAAGCGAAAATATGTCGAGCGATGAGGAATTAATTTTGTTAAACTATATTCGTCGTCGAAATAAAAAGAAAATTAAGAGGAAATATTGGGTGCATCCCTATATTTTTAATAATTATAATAAGCGACTATTTATTGCCGCGGAGGAGTTGCAAGAAGACGATTCGAAATTTCGAAAATTTTATAGAAGGTCGAAAGACACGTTTAAAGATTTAGTTTTTCTTCTAAAACCTGCTATTCAAAAGCAAAATACCAACATGCGCGAATGCATTGGTCCTGAAGAAAGAATAATGATAACGTTAAGGCAAGTAAACACTTTTATATATTTATATGTTTTTTTTTATTGACTGTCTTCCCTTCGTTTCTTTGTTTCAGGTATTTGTCTACTGGGTGCACGTTTTCTGCCCTGTCTTTATATTTCCAAAACGGCGTACCATTGGATTAATTGTAGAAGAAACCACAAAAGCTATATGGAATTCATTGAAGGGGTCCTACATGCCGTTACCGAATGAAAATGAATGGAAAAATTTAGCGAAACGATTTTCTGATGTATGGCAGTTGCCAAACTGCTTGGGAGCTATAGACGGAAAACATGTCCGAATAGAAAAATTTCCAAACTCCGGATCAGCCAATTTTAATTATAAAAATTATCATTCGGTAATTTTGCTGGGCTGTTGCGACGCTGACGGTTTTTTTTACAGCAATAGAATGCGGGTTTGCAGGACGAAATAGTGACGGAGGAGTTTTCCGAGTTTCGACATTTGGCCGTTGGTTGGAAAACAACAATAATATACCGCCGTCAAGTGAACTTCCGCATGACGAAAGTGGCAATAAATTTCCATACTATTTTGTGGCGGATAGCGGATAATTCAGAGTGCATGCATTTTACACAATTTTATTAGAAAAAAAGACGGGATATTATATACAGCACCCGAAAATGAAAGCAACCAATATAACCCAGAAAATCCACGAATTACAACAGAAGTGGAAACTTTAAGTTTAAATGAAAATTCTTCAGCTCAAGATCTACGCAAATATCTAACTAATTACTTTTTATTGCCAAATGTTTCTTTGCCATGGCAGTGGAACTATTGTTTATAAAATAATAAAATACAAAACTACAGAAATGCAAAAAGATTTTTTTATGTGTACATAGTTGACCATTTCATTTCCAGTGCTATTGCTGCCAAGAGAAGACGGCCTAATCCTTATGCAGTACCATGAGCGATGTTACCTGTTAAGATATACTTGAAAATATAAAGTCCAATAAGTGGAACAGCAGTGCGCCAAATTGAAGTTTAATTATGTACATATATATTTCGCATTCAAGGATTACTATACATGAACTAAGGCAAAAGATGGTTAATGTTAACAAATAAGCATATGAATTCCATTTTGTTTTGTGTTTGACAAATAGAAAGTAACAAATTTTTATATACCCTGTCGGAACAAAGTATTGGCACAGCAATTTTTTCGCAATATATACAACCATTTTCATTCTAATATTTTTCCGCTAATTTTTTATAAAAATGTGGTTTCATTCTACGGCAAAAACATTAAAATATAATTCCTAAACTTTGTGCAAAACGCGCGAAAATTCAGCAATTTTTCATCAAAATTTTCAACTTTTTAATCAACATCATCCTTTGCTTCTCCAAGTCTCTTCCTTTTTTTGTTGTTTTCCACACATAAAGGAGTGGCAAAGGCATGATTGCGTTTTTCAGCCACTACATTAATATCGCCGTGGTCAACATCTTCAGTTGTTTCTACTTCCTCGTAGTGGTGCACATCAGATTCCTTTATTTCGAAGTTTGCGGTGTGTTCCAAATGCTGGACTGGTCGAACATACGGCAAAACAAACTCCAATATGTCTCGAAAATAGTAGGGCTTCNCCGAAAAACCACTGGGAGACGGTTTTAAACTTCGGACAAATCCATTCCGTATATTCTTCCATTTCTCCTTACATTCTGCCCCTAAAAATAAATTAAAATAAAATTGTTTATAGTCTCGTCGTGGTTTGTGGATCAAATTAGAAGTTCAAATGGTAAACATATTTTTCTTTTGTTTCAGTGCTTAAATGTAAGCGCCGATAAATATTGTATATTTCAACCACTTTTCTATGCATATGTACATACCTGACCATTTCATCACTTCAGCAATCTCTGACCAAGCTTTTTCCGTTAAATCCTTTCGAGAGCATTCCTTCAGCGTGATATTATAAATGAGGGGATATTTTTCTATTAATTGCACGAATTTTATCGTTTCGTCCGTCATTTTTACAACGCCATACGCCTCGTGTGCAGACTGCCTTAGTTTTGCCCGGCGTATTGTTATTGCGCACGGTAAATCCATTTATTTGGGACATTAGGTAGGTCGGCTTTTTTGCGAGATAAACTGTGGTGATAAGCATAGCAAGGAGGTGGGATTTTTGTGAAAGTTTGGTGAGATTACACGAAATTCAGGTGAGAGAATTCTGATATTTTGTGAAGTGTGTAGCTTGGTTGATGCCTCTCTATTTTGTTTAGTAGCATTCAAATATAGTGTACATTAGGCAGGGTCGCATTTTGTATTTGTGGTATAAAGTTTGGTTTGGTATTTTGAATATTAATCTTTTTTCCTTTTTAATTTTTTTTTGCAGCAGGAACAAAAGGAGGATTTTTTTCCTTGGTGGTTCGGGGCGGCGTGATAACGGACGGTCGGGGTATACCTCAATACGTACATACATATACATTAGATGCCTTATTTTCTCCATACATTTTGCTAAAGTATTTCAGATCCTCCCTCCGGCAGCATAATATGAAAATAGGACGCTAAAGACCTTACAAAATGAAAAAAAAAAATCATTATTGCAAAAACTGAATGAGCTACTCCGAAAACCGCGATTTATAAGACGGTTTTGCTATAACTTTAGATCCTTAAGGCCTGTATGGAGCTCTCAAGAAAACGGTCAAGAAAAATTTGCCATTATTTCGTGTGTGTGTCCAAGGAATTTTGACATCTGATACTTCACCAGCCTGTTGCCTCACTTTTTCCTCAAGAAATAATGGAACGGGCATATATTTCTGTTGCAAACCTGGGTTGCCTTGTGCTCCTTTTTCACAAAAAACTTTAGAAAACCGTAGTAGACAGCGTAGCAAATTTCTTAAGAATTGCGTACTGCCTCAAGAAAATCTTACAAAATAAAATTTCTTAGGCATTTCTTGTACGTCATTTTGTATGGAATTTTTGCTTTTCTTGAGAACTGCATACAGGCCTTATGACAACACATTCATCTTACACAAGAAAGAAAAAAATATATCCAACCTCATGAAGAATAAGCCGCTAAAGCGATTGGCGTACTCAGTTTTTTAATAAAACTAACCAAAACGATACCCACACGGCCTAAATTGACAATTTAGTACTATTTTTCACGAATTTTATTCGTTAGGATTTTCCAGATAGTAGTAATTTTTCCAAAACTAAAATATTTAAAATTGTAGCAAATTTAATGTAGTTTTTAAAAAAGTGAACAGATTTTAGATCGAATTATATTTGAACTAGTAAATTAAGCTTTTTTCTTAACAGCGGTCGTCCCTCGGCAGGCAATGGCAAACCTCCGAGTGCATTTCTGCCATGAAAAACAGCTTCTCATAGAAATACAATCTCCGTTCGCAGTCGGCGTAAAACTGTAGCTTCCTCCTCTTTGTGTGACAACATCAAGGCGCACACCACATATCGGAGGAGAAGCTCGGCCAAACACTAACATATGTGTATGCGCCACTCTAAAAAAAAAAAAATTTGGCTTAAGTGAAGCCATGTTGAAAACCACTTTCAAACTTGACAAACATCGTCAAAAATTCAAAAGCCAAAGCAGGAGTGGATAAAACTGTCGTATTGTGGAATACTTTAATCTATATGCACGACTGATGATAACATTATTATCCTACATAATCAAAAAAATAGACAATATTGATGCAAGCGATAATGGAGAAAACGACAAGGACTAGTAGTTCCTTCCTAATTGGTAAGTTTCATTAATTTAATACATATAAAGAAAAGTTCTCTTAATTTTAACTACAGAGAAAAAACACTGCGCAATTTCTCGAAACCAGCGTTGCCTACTCGGGAGCACGTTCTGCGTCGAGTAATTCACCTTCGTTTAGAAGACAATTTAACAGTAATGAAATTATTGTTGTAAATGATATGGCCGAAAGGGCAATAAGTATGGCAACAAAGTTAAATGAAAAAGTAACCACTTCCGAAACCGAGAAACAGATGGGTTTTCAACACGTAGAGGCGCAGCAGAAAGTGTTTCCCTACCTAGCATCCAAAAACGACATTATTAAAAATTTCACTAAAATTTAAAGTATGTATGTCAGACATGACTTTACGTAAATCTTATTTATTTATTTTATTTATTTATTTATTACAGCTTTTACGCCCAGATTTACTATTTATTTATTACAGCTTTTACGCCTAGATTTACTTACATCTATACATCTAACCTATAATGCTACTATCGTATTGCTGTTGTACGACAATATGATTTCAATTTTCTTTTAAATACTGTTAATTTAACACAGTTTCTTACATCAGCCGGAAGTTCATTAAATTTTCTTAATCCTTTATAAAACAAGTTTTGCTGCCCCTGTTCCGTGGTAAAGAGCGGCAATCTAAAATTATTTATATTTCTAGTGTTTCCATTATGCACATCTCTATTGTATACAATATTTTTGCTTAAGTATTCTGGTAAATTACCATTTTTAATATTAATAATAAAAATCATTACAAAATAGAGGATACGCTGCTTGACACTGAGCCATTGCAATTCATTCAACATATCATGTGTCGGAGTGTCATATATTTTCTTTAATATAAATCTCATAGCTTTGTTTTTAATTTTTTGTAAATTATCTAATACGTTATCTGCCACTAAAATCAGAATAGTAGGGCAGTAATTGAAATGGGGTTCCACAATGGTTTTATAAACTAGAATTTTGTGTGTTTTTCGATACAAATTTACATGATCTCTGTAAAAAGCCTATCCTTTTTGCAATCCTTTGCTTCACACCGTTAACATGAGCTTCGAACTTCAATTTATTATCAATGACTATTCCTAGATAGTTTACAGCCGCACTCAGAGTCAATTAATGATTACTTAAGGTGTTCCTCAGTAACGTTTTGCAAAGTTTCCCTCTCAGAGTGCGTTAATGATTTGTTAAAGGCATTTAATGAACATTAAAGTTAAGTGAAGAAAACCCTTTACTTAACTTTTTAACGAAAGATTATACAAATTTTTGTTTGTTTTCAATAAATTTCAATTTCGCTAACGTCACTGTAACCGTCGCAATGGCGCAGTGAGCAGAGCACTGGCGTGCCATTCAAGAGATCCGAGTTCAATCCGCGGTAATGGAGTACTTTTTTCTTTTTTAAATTAATTTTTTCTGTTAATTCTCAAGTTTTATTGTCTAAAAAATATAATATTTTTAATTTCATTCAATATTTAGAAACTTGTTTAATTATTTTTTTGCTTTTCTTAAATAAATTTTTATTTTTTATTGAATTGATTTTTTTCGTTTAGTTTTTAGAAAATTGATACATATATAGAACAACGCTTAGACCTCCCCCTTAGTAGATATTTTAATTAGGCATACGAAATACAGAAAAGAGCTTTCAAGATAGAGAATTTCGTCTTTCGAAAGACAGTGGTGAGATGAAAGACAGATGCCAGAATTGACCTGTTAGTTGTTTTGTTTGGTTTTTTGCAGTTTACAAAAATTAAATTAAATAAAAAAATAGTTTCCTTTTGAAAACAATAAAATCTAAAAAAAATATTAAAAACATAAAAAATAAAATTAAATAAGTTTCCAGAAATTTAACAAAAAAAAATAAAATATTAATTAAAAAAAGGAAAAGGATAATTTTCTGCAATAGGGCTGGACTTCGGATCTGTCGAATGGTACTCTACTCACTACGCCATTGTGACTGTTTACGTAGTGTGCGTAAAATTATATAAATACTTATTTTATATTTTATTTCAAACTCAACGAAAAAAGTGAGTGTTGCCATAAAAAGAACGGCCGTAACTTGGACCATACTTAAATTTCATAAGCCCTTATCTTTTAACTCTGAGAGGAAGCATTAATTAACACATTTAACGATCATTAGTTAAGTGTCCGTTAGAGCACGGCTGTAAGACCAACATCTTTGCCAAATTTTATAGAAATGGGTGAAGCGGTTACCGAAATATACACATGTAATCATAATTGGATGGGCCTACGCAGTTTATGTATTTTGCCAAATTTCCATCACATGGGATGTAATTGTTGTTATTGTCTAATTTTGCCCATTTTCAATACTACTCATCCTTAGCTCAAAAGAAATACACGTACCAATATCGTTAAGATATCTCAATTATTACTATATTTATAGTGTGCAAAGACAAACGGGCGGGAGGACGGACAGATAGCCACAGTTTCATCGATTTATATTTTTATTTAGAGTCCACTAAATGTGTAAAAGTGTTTCTTTTGACGTATACAGAAGTCAACGAAAATTTGAAATTTTATGAAAAGTTTAGCAGTCGCTACCAAACTAGAGGCCAGCTACTCAAACTGCGAACGAAGAAGTAGCTTAGAGTGTTTAAATTCAAAACAATAATGTTTTTTTTTTTTTTTTAAAACGGAACAAAATTCCTTAACACTTTGCCATTTAACCCGGATTTTTATGTTGAAAACTCATTGAATTACAAACGACTCTTTATCCGCAGTCCGAAGGCGTGATAGGTCTTTCTTATTTCCAAAATCTGTAAGGAAAGAATAGTAGTAATTACAGCTGGTGCATGCACGTTTGCATGTTTGGTTCACTTTGTTCATACATACATATGTGCACAAATATGTGGTACGTCAGAAAAAGGGTTGAAATCCATTGTTCAAGACAATAGATATGATCAGGGGCGGCATTTCCATACTCTCAATAACACACTTTAACTAACAGTGGTTAAGGATGTGTATAAAGTTAGCGAAACAACATCAAGCAAAAAATGTCACATATACCCATGAATTTGCCGTTTTCTTTGCCGTTAATTAGTTGTGGAAAAAATATTTTTGTCGCTCCGGTATTTTTTAGATATAAGGTGTTTTGCTAATTTAATATAAAGTTAGCGAAGCACTCCTCCAAACTCAAAGACAAACGACTAGGCTTTATGTCAAAATTTGCCGTTTTTTACCGTTCTAAGATGAGCTAGTTTACTTTTGAAAAAAAAAAAATTAAAAAAAAAAAAATTTGAATTTTTTTTTGTTTTTTTCAATGCTCAATAATTTTTAGAAGAAAAGGATAATAATATAATAGAAAAGCAAACCCGGTTTCTTTATGTACCACTTTGAAATTTAAACAAACAATAATCACCATTGTAAAAATCAAAAAATTAAGAAGCTTTCTTATCACAATCAAACACACAATTACAAACAATTAAACAAAAAAAAATTAAACGACAAAATCAAAAACAGTTTTAGTGCACAAAACAAGCCAAACGGCAAATTATGTCACAAAAAAATTAATTTTTTTAATATTTTTAACCAATTTTTAAACCGCTTTCCAAGTCCCTATTTTTTTAAATAAGGCTGTTTAAACAAAAACAAATTTAACGAAAAATCAAAAACAGTTTTAATGCACAAAACAATTCAAACATAAAAAAATTGTTCTTATTATTTTTAACCAATTTTTAAACCGCTTTCCAAGTCCCTATTTTTTTAATAAGGCTCGTAAAAAAAAAAACAAATAAACGAAAAAATCAAAAACGATTTTAATGCACAAAAAAGCCAAACGGCAAATTATGTC